ATTTCACGTGCCGACGAGCTTCACGAGGCTCACGTGGGCTTGGTGCGGCCCTACTTCTCTCCATGCCAGACATTGAGTGCTTGGCGCCATCGCTGGCTACGCCTGAGCGTTGTCCCACACTGTTGTTCTATGTCGGTGTGCCTGATGAGACGGTGATCGGCTCCTCCGATTGTGCAGGTGCGTTTGTTGGTGCTGGTGCGTTCACGGTTGATTGCTGGCGAGCGAAATCGCGTTCCGCCGTGAGTGTAGCGATTTTGAGGGCCGAATCTTCGAGTTGACGCACGAGACGGTCGAGTTGCTTTTGCGTCAGTGTCGCGATATTAATTTCGGCCATGGCGGGGGTGTCGGGCAAGCTCAGCGAGAGTCTCTGTCGTGGCCGTGCGTGCTTACGAGAGGCACTTCGAGCGGCGGTGCTTGGTCGCTGAGAGACGTATACCCCCCCCCCCCCCCCCAAAAAAAAAAATTTTATTGAAATAGTGGGGAAGTGACGGTGTGGGTGCGGTCCGAGAGAAGATCGTAGACTTTGATAACCAAGTGTTACGAGTGCAATTGAGTGAGCGAGCGAGGATTGCACTATCGAGACAAGAATACAATGAGCGAAGGATTGAGCGAAGAATATACAGCGAAGCTACAGTGGCTACGGTAACGTGGAAAATGGGGTGCGCAACAGGCCTAGTGCCGAGGTTGGGAATGTCGAGGCGGAGGTCCGGAGCGCGGGTTACCAACCGAGCCGTAAGGTTGGGTCGCGTTGTGAACAGCGGCGGGACTAGTGGCGAGGCGAATGTCGCGAGTGGTAACGGATTATTGTTGGGTGCTGTTGGCGGGAAACAGTGGTGTACGTGCTGAGCAGGGACGCGAAGGAAGGAAAAGGAATTTCCCCTTACAAGTACAAATGAGCAATATACGGTGCCTAGGTGGGTGATATGTCGATGCCCGTTTTAACAGCTACATATGGATATTTGGTTTAAAAACAAAATGCAAACATCCATGGTAGAACTCCTATAAAATGATAACAGAGCCTGAACTCAATCCACAAACAAGCAATCAGTATCTAAACAATGGCTGCTTATTGAGTGAGATGAAATCTTGGTCAGTGGTGGCTAGAAAATTGGTCGCAACTTGGGACGTTGTATGCTTTATTTGTTACTACTGAACTCAATACTACGGTACTCACATAATTATCAGCCCACCAGTGGAAACGATGTCGGACAACTCCGAGGACGGTAAATAGAACGCGAACATCTAGGGAAAGTGGAACCAGCTGCAGCCACTCCAGGGGGCGAATGTCGGAGCAGTCCCAGCCTATTCTAGGGCAACCACTTATTGATTTATTATTATTTCCTGGCTTATGGCAGCAAGGAGTTCCCCAAGATATAAGTAAATTCAGCGAGCAAATGAGAGGAGTTGGCCCACGATTCACGACGCTGCTTCCAACCTGGCTGGCGACAGCTGCGCGTACCCGCACACCCAAATCAGGCACTTCAGCAACTGTTGCTCAATCCGTTATTATCACCACTCATCATGTTAACGAACTCCGAGAAGCACACTCGGCCATCCCCGTCCGCGTCAACCCTGCGAATCATCCTCTCGCATTCCGCCAATGACACGTCTCCGTCGTCGTTCTCATCGCCAGCACCAATTCGCAAAAGCATCTCGCGAAGTTCGTCAGGCGTGATGTAACCGTCACCGTTTTTGTCGAACGAGCGAAACGCCGCGAGGAGATCGTCCATCGACGCGGAGTCAGAATCAGGAGAATCCACGACCGCCATGTCAGCGTCGCCAGCCGAAGCTAAACAGATTTCGCCAAGCCCAGCGTCGTTACGAGGAATTTCCAATTCTTCCATGCTGCTTCCGCGACTGCCCGTGCTGCCGCTCCTCCCGCTGCTAATCCGTGAGCCTGCGGCAACGCGACCAGAACCAACGCCAACACAAGCTTTGTTCACGGCGAGAAATTCGTTAAAGTCAACGAAGCCGTCACCGTCAGTGTCTGCTTGTGCTATCATCTTTCGAGCCATGTCGTTTGGTCGTGTTTCGCCGAGACTGGCAAGAACTGAGGCCAACTCAACGGTTGAGATGCGGCCGTCGCGGTCCCGGTCCATAAGATTGAACACGTGGCGGATATCGACGGCAGAAACGCCGTGAATCATGTCGATGAACGGTCTAGATGATTGTGCGGATGTCCACCCAGTCGTGGTTGTAAAAGCGGCCTTGGTATCAACCATAGCGCTCGGAAAGCCTGCTTTTCAGAACGAAATTGCTGGAAAAAAAATAAACTCTAAATGAACGAACGAGACAAGATGACGAAGTCGGAACCGAAAGACGGAATAGAGTTAAGGCTTGACAGAAGGGCGGCACTCTGACGAGGGAGACTGTCGTGACACTGTGTTTAGCGGTCAATTGCGGAAAGAAACGAGGAAGAGGAGGTGGAATGCATTTGTGGAGAGAATTGCTCCAGTGCCTTGTTTGGTGATTCGCTCTTGCCCACGTGTCCCCAAATTGCTCGAGTGGCCATCCAATTCAGTGATAATTGCTCGAGTGGCCACGCCAGGGCATTTTCGAGGTGTTTTTTTTCTCCGTCACATTACCCTACCAGGGTTTGTATCCCCGAAATTCCTCGTTCGCACGAGTTTCATCAAGCGGTAGAGTTTCGTACTATTCCCCACCCAAAAATTTCGGGTGGTTGGCGGGCGCGAACGTGGCCCGACCAACAGTATATGCGCGGCCATTTTTACCCCAATGCACGACCAATGAGCGTGCGGGCAAACAAATTCGTAACCAATAAGCGCTCGAGCATCGTAACCAATGAGCGCGCGGGCAAATACATCAGCGTTCATAAACTGCAAATCCAGAGCATAAATGCACGAACATATTATTGACCGCGCACGATTGGTCGATAATATGCTTCTTGCCCTTTTTGGCAATGCGCGTCCAATCACACACGGTCATATAATTCACGACCATATATTTAGGCGATAAAGGGTCGCCCAAGAGCCAATATGAGCGCGCATATACTACCATTAGTTCTATCATATTTCCAGTCCATATAAAACTATAAATATCAAATGCCATAAATATATTCCCTGCTATTAATTTAAACCCTTCATAACCTTGGTGGCAGCATATTATGCTGGGCTTAAATTAATATTATGCTGCCGAACATATTATTTCTGCAACCATATTACCGGCAATACAATATTATGGACCACGGTGTCATGGGCTTAAATTAATATTATGGTAGGCCACGATAAAATATTATGTCTATTATGATGGGCTTAAATTAATAGCAGATAATATATTTATGGCATTTTATATATATGGTTTTATATGGACCGGACATATGATAGAAGTAATGGTAATATATGCGCGCTCATATTGGTTTTTGGGCGACCCTTTATCGCCTAAATATATGGTCGTGAATTATATGACCGTGCGTGATTGGACGCGCATTGCCAAAAAGGGCAAGAAGCATATTATCGACCAATCGTGCGCGGTCAATAATATGTTCGTGCATTTATGCTCTGGCGTTGCAGTTTATGATCGCTGATGTAATTGCCCACGCGCTCATTGGTCGCGCATTGGGCCGAAAATGACCGCGCATCTACTATTGTGCGAACGAGGAATTTCGGGGGTACGAACCCTTGTAGGGTTATGTGCCAGGGAAAAAAAACACCTCGAAAATGCCCTGGCATGGCCACTCGAGCAATTATCACTGAATTGGATGGCCACTCGAGCAATTCGGGGACACGTGGGCAAGAGCGAATCACCAAACAAGGCACTGAAGCAATTCTCTCGCATTTGTGGGATGACGGTGACGCAGCGCTAGTGACGCGTTTCCAACTTCCACCAAGGACGGAGAAGGTGCAGCTGACGGAAAGGAAGGGGGGGTGGGGGGGCGGGTGGGTGGGGGGGCTGTGGAGGTGAAGGAGGTGCTGGATTGGATGGATGAAATGATGATTTGTTGTGGTGGAATGGAATGCTGGCGGGGTGGTTCCGGTTTGGAGGCAAGGATCCTGGTGCGATAAATGAAATATATCTTCTCGAGGGTATTCATATTATTTCCCTGTTCTGCTTCCGAACATATTTGTTGTGAAAATCTCTACCAGGAAGACAATCCAGTGCATTTTGAGGGACTTGATTTCTGCGTGGTGCGTATTGTATCTGCTTGGTTTCTAGAAGGCATTTGTAGAAACCATCTCTCACAAAGCTGGGTACTGCCAAGTGGGCAGCCCCTACGATCGCGGATCACACCGCGTCAATCCCGACACCTAACTCTGAGTCGCTTTCAGCCGTTCAGATCGGTGGATCGACGACACATAGTTCACTATTTTATGACGTCTGTTGTTCTTTTCTTCTCGCTTGCTCCTCGGTTTGGTAGCACCACCTTCCCCCCTCCCCCCTCCCAACCTCCCCTCTTCTATTCCCCTCTTCCTCCCGCCCACTCACTCCCCCTCCCCACCCCCACCTTCCCCAGCAGTGTGCTAGTGGTACCCTTCCACCCACCCCACCACCACAAACAAGCTCTTCTGACCCCACACCTGGACGGCCCCACCTTCGTTTCTGTTCATGAGCCGTGACAGAACAGAAGGATGTGTCACTCTGTACAAGATCGAAGACGACAAGAAGCTGGTAATTTTCCACCCAATCAGCTCAGTCGGGCATGCAGAAGCAGGTCACAAAAAACCGTTACCTTTGCTCACTTCACATGAGCCAAGACCTGAAAATGCGCTTGGCGGTTTCACCAGCGAGCAGCGATTGATGCTCCAACAACTGCTCCGATAATCGTTCGAATTCATAGTGTCATGGTGTTGCAGACAATCGAAGTATGGCCTTTACAGCAAGTAATCATGTGTCCCAATCATTGTCGAGGGGCATCAGATGTTTCTGACAGATTCTTGCGCCCATGGCAATACCTTTGAATAACCAACTCATAATGTTCAGTAATGTCGTACAATTCACAATTTCCCTCACGCATGACCAATCCTGCACCATGAGCAAAAACACTATGATGGAATAAAGTTTTCCACTTGGCCTAACCTGAGAAGGTATATCCCTGGGCCGTTGACAGTATAGTTTCCCCCGAGGGGTGGACTGTTGGGGGACAGAGGTGGAAAAAGAGGGATGAACAAAACACACACACTTACTCATCTGATTTGTGATTGGTATGGCATGGCACTTACAGGGATACAATACAACACAACACCCACTTGGTCTTGCTCCCATTGATCTCACCCTGAACTTACCCCCCCCCTCCCAGCAGCCACCCATTCATCCACCCCTTACCACCCATGTATCCCACCACCGTCCATCCATTCATCCCACCCACCACCAGCTGCCCTCCCACCAATGCATCCCACCACCAATCATCCACCCATCACCTACCCCAGAACCCACCTGTCCCAGTCCGAGCCTCCATTGTTGGTGACAAATTCCATTGCAGTCACTGGAAGGGTGATCACCTGGAAACACACGGGAGGAGGTGGGAGTGGGGGGGAGAGGGGGGTTGAAGGGCGAATGAACCATGCAGCTAGGAATGAGAGAGAAGAGAGTGGGCTCCGTCGTTGTTGGTACCAAATTCCATGGCAGTCACCAACAGGGTGATCACCTGGGGAGAGAGGGGGAAGGGGGAAGAGGGTGGGAAGAGGGTGGGAAGAGGGCATTCGAAGCTTGAAGCTATGAGCGAGACAGAGAGAGGGGCTGAGAACGAGAGTCACAGGAGTGTTGGACGGAAACCCCACAGCACCTCATTAAGAAACAATCACCTTGTGAATCCCACACCTCGTGTAGCCCTCTCCTCGGCCTTTAAATGCTCTCGCATAAAAACGTATTCAGCTTGACCTTCTAGAAACTCTCACCTTGAGATGTTCTAACCTTGAGGGGCAGTCCATTCAAGCCAATGAGAGGCGAGTCGTCCATTCTCGACCCCGGCACATCAGTCCAACCAGCGCCGTCCGCACTGAAGTGCACAAATACCTCCGGCCACCCAGTCTCATAGTACAGCGTCACTCCTGCCGCCCGCTCCTCCTCCACCACCGCCACCCCTTCCTCTTGCTCCCCTGGCGCCTCTTGCCCTTCCTTTGAAGCTCCTTCAGAAGATGAAACGTCAGGTTCACCCTCTTGCACCCCTCCCGCTCCCTCTCCACCGCACTCCTGCTCTACTTGCACCTCCTCATGCGCTAATCCACCCTCCTCTTCTGTCTCCCTGCACCCTCCCACTGCACTCGCCTCCTCTTCTATCTCACTGCCCCCTCCCACTGCACTCGCCTCCTCTTCTGCCTCCCTCCCTTCCTCACTATCTACTTTCTCCTCTCCATGCTCCTCTGCTCCTCTCTCCTCCTTCTCAATCGGCCCTTTCTCCCTCTCCTCCTCAGCGTTCCTCTCGCCTTCCTTTTCCTCGACTCCCCTCTCCTGATCCTCCTCGGCACCTCTCTCACCCTCAACAGTGTCGTCTGCTAGCCCACCATCCCACCCCTCACCACTACCCGCCTCTCCATCACCTCCACTGCCACCCTCCTCGTGCTTACCCTCCTCTCGCCTCCCCCCCTCGTCTCCAAGCCTCTTTTCCCCTTCCTCTTGAGTAACTGCTTCGCCTTCAGCCCCTTTCTCTTGCATCCCCTCCTCCTCCCCGCCTTGTTGCCCTGCATCCGGTTCACTCACCGCCTCACTCCTCTCCTCTACACTCCTCTCCTCTCCATTCCTTTCCTCCTCCCCACCTTCCCTCTCTCCTGCCTCGCCGTCCCCTAACTGCACGTCAGCATCTTCTCGTGATTGGCCCAAATCAGCCTTCTCTTTTGATTGGCCCACGTCATCACCCTGTGGAACAGGGCCCTCTACTGGCCCTCCTCCCCTCTCACTCTCACTCTTCCCCTCCTCCTCACTCACTTCCTCTCCATCCTCCTCTTCTACTGCTCCACCCTTCTCCTTCTCACTCTCCTCAAGCAATATCCGCCTCTTCCTCTCCTCCGCCTCCCTAGCCGCCTCCTCCTCCTCTACCTTCCTCCTCTCCTCCTCCCTCTTCCTCTCCTCCTCTCTCTTCCTCTCCTCCTCCTCTTTCTTCCTCCTCACCTCCTGCTCCCTCCTCTCCTCCCCAAGCTCCACCAGCCGCCCATCCTCTCTCTCCTCATACACACTCCACTCCCCCGGCGGACCCTCCTTCCACCACCCAGCCCTCACACTCCCTCTACCACCCTCTCCCTCCACTCCCCCATCTCCCACCTCACCCCCCTCTCCCTCCCGCCCCTCCCCTTCCTCCTTCCTCCCTGCCTGCCCCATTTTCCCTTCTCTCTCCCTTTTTCCCCCAGCCCCTTTCCCCCCTTCCCACCCAGCAATCTCTTTCTCCATAAGCTTCCTCCCTTGCCTAGTCCAGGTCTCCACATCAAATACAAGCTCCTCCAATAGCTGAACCCCCAGCTCTACCTTTCCACCAATCAGCGCGCCCCTGATCTCCATCAGCCCCCCTAACAGCCCCTCCAGCTTCTGCTGCATCATCTCCAGCCGCCACGTCAGCATCTGCGCGCGGATCTCGATCGACTTCTTATCCTTTCTCAGCTTCGCGATCTCCCGCCCTAACACGTCAGCAACGCGCTCTAGCCGCATGGAGGTAGCCTGCTCCGCCTCCTCCGTCCGCGCTACAGCCGCCTCTAGGGATAGGATTCTCATCATTGCGTCTGTCAGGCTCATGCCACGTGTCATCGCCTCAACAGGCGCCAATCCACCTATACCCCCGCTTCCCATTCTATCGCCACTTCCTAACACCTCTCCTCCGTCCCCTACCGCTCCTGCTGCTCCCCCTTCTCCCCCTGCGCCCCCTGCGCCCCCTGCTCCTGCTGCGCCCGCTCCCCCGAGCGTGCCTTTCCGAACGAGCGCATCGAGCGTGGCGACCATGGCGGCGCGCTCCTTCTCCCACTCCTCGCGCCGCACGCGCAGCTCCGTGTCCTTAATCTCCAGCTGCGACAGCAGCTGCTTCGTCCGCCGCCGCGCGCGCACCAGCTCCGCCTGCACGTTCCCCACCGCCGCGCCCACCACTGCTTGAACGTCATCGACTGAGAGGCGCCCGCGGATAGACGCCGCCAACTCGTCCGCCTGCCAGAGGAGGGTGAGAGGAACGGAGGGAGAGAGGGAGAGAGGTACAGAGAAAGAGAGAAGGGAGGGAGGGAGGGAGGGAGGGAGGGAGGGAGGGAGGGAGGGATGGAGGGAGGGAGGAACAAGGAAATGAGGGAGTGAGAAGGTTGAGCAACAAGTGCACAAGCTCCGCGTGCGCGTTGCCCACCGCCGCGCCCACTACTGCCTGCACGTCATCGACTGAGAGGCGCCCGCGGATCGATGCTGCCAGCTTGTCCGCCTGGAGTGGAGAGTGGGGGCTGGGAGAAGGGATGCGGGGGGAGGGACGAGGAGGGAGGGGGTAGGGAAGGAATGAGGGAAGATTAGGGTTCGTCATCGCGCCCACCACCGCCTGCACTGCACGTCATCCACACACGAGGAGTGGGAGAGATGGAGAGAGGAACACGGGAGCAAAAGGGTGGAAACAATCCCCATTCCCAGTCCTCCTTAACCCTTTCTCCCTTCCTCGTTTCCCCTTTCACGTTTCCCTTTCTCCCCCTTACCCTTCTCCCCATTCCCCTTTCCCTTCCCCCTGCCCCCCGCCTCACCTTGCTCTGCAGGCGGCGGCTCTCCTCCTCCAGCGCCTCGTCCGCCGCCTCTAGCAGCGACCCCTTGGCGCGCACCTCCCCCACCAGCCGCGCCAGACTGCTCCCCCTTCCCCCGCCGCCCGCCTCTTCCGAGCCCTCCTCCCCTCCCCCCACATCCGCTTTCTCCTTCGCGTAGGGGGAAGATTTTGCAGAGGCGGAGGGGGCTGTGGCGGAAGGGGAAGAGGCGGAGGGGGCTGTGGCGGAAGGGGAGGCGACGGAAGGGGAAGAGGCGGAGGGGGCTGTGGCGGAAGGGGAGGCGACGGAAGGGGAAGAGGCGGAGCGGGAGGTTCGAGACGAGGGGAGCGCGGGGGACGAGCGGAAGGCGCGGGAGGGGGGAGGGGAGAGGAGGGCGCGGAAGGCTTGGGAGAGGCGGTCGGAGAGGCGCGCCCAGAGGGAGGGGAGGGAGGCGGCAGCGTTGGGTGCTGATGAGGATGATAGCGCTGATGATGGCGATGGTGGTTGTGGTGATGCGCGTGGTGACGAGGATGCAGGTGCTGTTAGTCCCAGCTGCGAGGCGCTCGCTTCCATATCCGTGGCCATGGAGGAGAGCTGCGGAGGGGAGCAGAAAACGAGGGGGGAAGGGGAAGGTGGAGAAGAGGATGATTGCTGTGATGATGGCGATGGTGGTTGTGGTGTTGTGAATGGTGATGAGGATGCAGGAGATGTTAGTCCCAGTTGCGAGGCGTTGGCTTCCATATGCATTGGAGGAGAGCTGCGGAGGGGAGCAGAGAACGAGGGGAGAATGAGAAACAGCAAAAACTGCCCCTGAAGCGTGGCTCTAAGTTTATCCAAAGCTACTCCGGAAACACGTTGACAAACAGCAAACACAACATGGACATGTTGACTGGCTGGCTGACGGCTGGCTGGCTGACTTACGGCTAGCTGGCTGACTGACGGCTGGCTGGCTGACTTACGGCTAGCTGGCTGATTGACCGGCTGGCTGACTGACTGACTGATGACTGATGACTGACTGACTGACTGACTGGTTGGCTGGCTGAATGACCGGCTCACTGATTGACTTGCTGACTGACTGATTGGCTGGTTGGTTGGCTGAATGGCTGGCTGACTGACCGGACAACTGGCTGGCTGGCTGACCGAATGCTCGGCTGAATCACTGACTGCCTCACTAGCTGACTGGCTGGCGGACTGACCAGCTGGCCAATCATCTGACTCGCTCGCTGGCTTGCATGGACGACTGACTGGTTGGCTGACGCACCATCTGACTGACTTGCTGACTGGCTGGCTGGCTGACTCGCTCACTGGCTTCTTGCCTGGCTGACTGACTGCCTGACCTGCTCGCGCAATCGGAGCCAGATTCCCGTCGTGGAGCGAGAGTCGGAGGACGAGAGGAAGGGAGGAACGAGGGAGGAAAGAGGAGGAGCACCTCACGGGCACTGACCCTCGCGGGCACTGACCTGTTCCTGCACTCGGCACCGGATCTCCGTCATGGAGCGAGAGTCGGAGGAGGAGGACGATCGAGGCTGGCGGGGATATGGCGATTGGGGGGCAGGGAGAGAGAGAGACACACACACATATGAATGGGGGTGAAGGGGCAAAGGGGAACACGTATGAAGTTGGTGCGTGCTCAGCATGGGAGTACGGGCAAGGTAGGCACGCCCGTACAAGTCAACTGCAGCACAGCAGCGCAACAGCACAGCAGCGCAACAGCGCAACAGCACAGCAGCGCAAGCGCAGGTATGGTCAGCGAATAGCAGTCGAACCACAGGAGAGCAGGGGATCGTGCGCCAACGGCGAAAAAGAGGGAGAAAGCAAGCGAAACGCGCGCACGAAATCGGGTACTTGCCACGGATCGGAACTTCTGCGTTGAAGCTGACGCGTCTTCATCCTCCTCGCGCTCCTTCGTCGAAGGAGGAGAGGACGAAGAGGACGACGTAGAAAATGAATACGTTGAAAAGGAAAATGTTGAAAATGGGCCAGTCGCAGACGAGCCAGCTGGGCGATCGCCAGCGGCGACCTCGGGCTCCTGCGACGATTCAAGGGGCTCCTGCGACGAGAGGGCGTCGTGGACGAAATACGGCGACGGGAGGATGGAGGAGGAGGACGGGGAGGGCAAAGGTGGTTGCGAACGCGTCTGCGACTGCGACGACTGCGGACGAGACGGCGACGACGGGGGTGATGACGAGGGCGACGGCGGTGAGTCGGAGAGATAGGAGGGAAGGGAGAGGCGGATGATGTTATGCACGGAGTTGAAATCCCGTTGCAGGGCTTTAAGATTCGATGCTATCTGAACCGGTACGCGACTGGACGACATGGATCCTTGCGACGCCATAACTTGGAGAGCTTGCGCTCGCTCCACTAAGTGATCGACACGTGCTCGAATCTCATTGGCTGGCCGGAGCGGCATCGGCTGCTGATTGGAGGACGAGTCTGCTGAGCCTCCGTTGCTGTCGCTGAGTTCGGGCTGTTGCGACTTTTCTAACCGCCGGCCACCATTAGGCGGGCCGGCGGACGACAATTGGGACCAATGCGACGCCTGCGAAGATTGCGACAGCTCGTTCCTACGGATCTGCTTCTGTAACTGCTTAATCGATTTCGCCAAATCATCAATCTCTTGCCGCGCCTGATCCACCGCCGACGCCGGAGGCCCTGCCACGTCAGCTCGTATCGATCGGAGGACGGGAGATTCCGACGGAACGGAAAATGACAACGGTAATCGGCCAGTTCTTGACAGCCTTCCGTTCCGTAACCAGCGGCGTTTGGACGGCGAGGATGCGTCCGCGGTACCGAAGGCATCAGTAACCCTTACACGCGTCTCGTTTCGCCCGTGAAGCGCTCGTTGATTCGTCGTTTGATCGCTAAAACTAGCCGCTGTTAAGGAAAGCACATCTGCAGGAAGGTGGTTACTATGCGTATATTTTTTATGCGGATGGCTCTGCCATGCCGTGACGCCAGGGGTGCCATAACCAGATCGCAGCGTCGGGCAAGAGATCAACCAATGCTGTGCTGCCATTGTGGACAAGCCGGCTCGACGGAAAAGGGTTTACGAATCAGCTTGCATTACACGAGTATCAACGCAACTGGATCACCACGCTGTATAAATTCCAATGCTTGGAAGAAAGCGACTTAGAGGAAGACTCTCCCTCCAACGACTGGCACCACAAGAGGCCAAGTTCTTGCCTTGCAATCACTAGTTTCTACATAATCTGTCCCCCACTAGTAATCACGGTTCATTTCTATTCGCAACGGTCTAAAGCGGTGAATAAAATTCACCGTACATGACCGTGACACGCTGCATTGTACCCATGCGGACTTTCTGTAAATGTGAAGAGCAAGCATGACCCAAGATTCCGCTTTGGTTGGAAAGGAAAGGTGGAGAGAGCATTGGTGAATTTCAGAAAGAAGCAGTGGGGGGTAGGGGGAAGAGGATTCAGGGGATAGGTGGGGAACATGGATGGCCAGAATTTGTCCGTTGAACGCCAGGTCAGCAAAATCAAGGCAGTCATGGGCGCCCGATGAACGGTAGAGAATGAGCGATGGGGGGATTTGGACGAGGCGCGCACTACGGGGAGTATCTGGGGCGAGGCAACGGGCCGCCAGCCAGCTGGTCCTGGAAAGTGCCACTTGTGCGCTGGCTTGATTGGATCTTTTCGGACGAATCAGGGAGCTGCTCCGAGAGTTTGGCATATTATCAAAGAGCAACATCTACGGACACGAACGCATCAAAATGAATGAATTTGCATAAACACGTGAGTGAGAGCACTCAAGACACATCATTAATATCACTCTTAAAGACATGGTACAAACAGTAAGTTTAGCATACAAAAACCAGGGACCAGCACTGGTCCACTAATCTAAACAAATACTCGTTCTCTTGTGTGGCGGTTCACCAAACTTCTGGCTTGCACAGCCACATCGTGAAGCCCACACAGGAAAAACAAAACAAAACAAAACAAGACCAGGCCAAACCAAACCAGCCAAACAAAACTTTTAGACCACCTGGTTCTGAAGTCGAGCAGCTGTTGGTGTATAGCTAGCAGCTAAGCAGACGCTGCAACAAAATTGGACGTGGACGAGATGCCATTAGAGCAGCCCCCTCCACCACGATTAGACTGCACTGACGCAGCCGCTGCCGCCGCCGCCGCAGCAGCAGCAGTAGTAGCAGTGACAGCACCAGTACCACTGGCACCACCGGTAGAAACAGGAGCCTGCATGGATGGAGAGCGAGCAGGAGTAGGAGCACCTCCCTTGGATGGTCCTCCTATCAGGATGCCTTTGTCCAACACAGGTAGCAGCAAGGAGCCTCCTGCAGTAGTAGCATTGGCAGGAGGAGCAGCAGGAGAAGCACCAGGAGAAGCAGCACGAGAGGCAGCGGGAACAGGAACCGCAGCAGCAGGAACAGGTGCAGTAGGAGCGGGAGCAGCAGCAGCAGGCTTGAGGTCAGAAAGGACGGTCTCAGGGTCCTTCCCCCCGTCTGCCACGCTGCATATAACTGCTTTGCTGTCAACCACTCCACTTGCAATCCCTCCTACTGCTGCCACCTCTCCGGCTGTCATTGCCGCACAATCCCGTGGCACTGGCGGCTTGGCATCCGGAGCAACGCTACTCTCCATTGCACGCTCCTCATGCGCCTCAAACCCCACATGCACCCGCAGCAGCTCACACTCCAGTCGCACTACATCCATCTCCGGCTCAAACGGAGCTCCTGGGAGCACTTCAGAGTTGTAGGGGATATCCACCCTCCCTGCGTTGAGCTCGACCCTCCCTGTGTTGAGCTCGACCTTTCCCGAGTTGACGTCGGGCCGCCCTGAATCAAAGGCGATTGCCCCTGGGTTAAGGGGCGGCAGGAGAAGGGACTCGGATCCATGCGGAGGGCACGGGTTCACGCTTTGAGTCGACTCGAAAATCGGCACGGTTGCACTAGGGGTGAGAGATGGCAGAAGAATGGACTCGGACCCGTGCGGAGGGCACGGGTTCACCAGCAGCAGGCAGTCCGCTTCACCACGGCTCGGCCGCAGAGGGAGTGGAGCAGCTTCTAACGAAGCAGCTTGTAGAGAAGCAGGTTCGGTGGGGAGGAGGATGGACTCGGATGTTGGTGCGCCGGAGAACACGGGGCACAGTGCCGAGTTGTCTGCTGCTGGGGCTGCTGCTGAGGTTACTGCTGGGATTGCTGCTGGGATCTTTCGAGGCGCCTCAAAAGTGGACTCGGATGTTGGTGCGCCGGAGTAAACAGGGCACAGTGCCGAGTGCTCTGCCGGGGCTGCTGCTGGGTTCGGAACTGTGGTTGTAGCTGGGGCTGCTGCACCGACTCTCTTGACCGTGGCAGCAACTGCTGCAAGGATAGCAGCAGGTGCAGAGGTTGCTGCAGAAACAGTAGCAGCAGCAACAGCAGTTGGAGTGGTACCAGTGGCACCAGTGGCAGTGGCAGCAGCGGCAGCTGAACAGTCAGCCTCGTTACTAACTGCTACCACCACAACAGGGGTGACAGGGACTGGAGAGGACAGCTTGCCTTCAGGTGCCAGCTCAGGTGAAACAACAGGTACGTTCACAGCCGAGTCCTTGCCATGCGAAAGCACCTGCTGCTGCTGCTGCTGCTGCTGCTGCTGCTGCTCCTCCTTCTGCTGCAGTGCGTCTTGCTCTATCTCAAACCCTGCCGGTCTCCCCCCCAACTGCTCACACTTCACAAGTCCACTGGACGTGCTCCCTGCAGCCCCACTTGCCACCTTGCCTGTACCTCCGCTAATAGGCTTGACTGTGGCCGCACCAATGGGCTTGCCCCTGCTCCCTCCCCCATGCCCGGGCACTTTCCTTAGTGAGAATCGCACCTTCACTCCTCCGCCCAGGCTTGCACCAGAGGGAGCCACAGCCACAGCAGCAGAAGTGCCACCACCAGCAGAAGCAGCAGCAGTAGCAGAAACAGGAGCAGTGGGAATGTCTTCATGTCTTGTATTCTTCCCAATTCTGTTACCACCTCCCGCCTTACACCCAGCCACCTTACCACCAACTCTCGCCCTCTGCACCTCCCCCTGTCCCTCCTTCATCCCTGCTCCCCTGCACCCCCCGCTCTTGCTCACACTGCCCTTGCTCTCCCATCCCCTCTTTGTACCCTTCGTGCTGGAAGGGAAGAGAGACGTTACAACCTGCACCACCAATGGACCCTCCACCTCTCCCCTTCTCACATCCCTCCTCACTCTCAGCCGCCCACCCTTGCCCACTGCAAACAGCGCCACCTCCTTCACAGTCACCTCTTTTACAGTCACATCCTTCATAGTCACATCGGCGAGTTTGCTTTTCTTTCCAGCATGACCGACACTACCTATCACACTCTCACTACAATCGGGTCCCTCAATAGCGCGTCTCTTTTTCCAGCCCCTACTCTCTCTCTCCCCCTCATTCCCACTTACCTTGCCCTTCCCCTCCTTGTTGGTTTCCTCTTTGCCCTTCCCCTCCTTGCCTTTCCCCACCGCGCCTTCCCCTTCCCCCTTTTCCCCACTCCTCCATCCGCCCTTCTCCCCTTGCATCCCTTCCCCCCTATCCAGTTGCTTTCCCAACCTCCTTGCATTCCCCTTCCGCCCGCCCTCCTCCGCCTCCGCCTCCCCCGCCCACTCCCCTTCCCCTTCGCCTGCTCTCTCACCAGCATTTACCACCCTTGCCTGTTTCAAACCTGCCTGGTTCGAACCAGCAAATTTCCGTCCCTTTCCAGACGCAGATAAATCCGTTCTTAGTTGCTCCTGTCCGTGTTCCCGCCCTTCCCGCACCCGCTCCCCCTCTCCCTTTCCCTCCACCTGCCCCACCCTCTGCCCCGCGCCCTGCTCCCCCGCCTGCCCCAGCCTCCGCCTTCCGCCCCTACCTCCCCCGAACCTCTGCTCTTGCCCCTGGGCCTTGCCGAGCCTCTGCAGCCGCTTCGGTCCCTTCCACTCCTCCCCCCTCTCCCTCCGCTCCTCTCTCTCCTCCCACTGCTCCTCCATCTCTTCCTCCTCTCCCTCCTCCTCTCCCTCATCCTCTTCATCATCCCACTCCCTCCCTTCCTCTTCTTCCTCCTCCTCCACTACTCGCTTTCTCCTCCTCCCTCCTCCCTTCTTATACTGGCATCGATACTCAAAGAAAGGAGACAAAAACCCTCCCTCCGCCCCTTTAAACCCTCCCCAACCCGCCTCACTCCCTTCCCCAGTCAAACCCCCCTCACCCCCCTCACTCTCCTCTCCCCTCTCACTCACCCCCACACAAGCGTCTCCCCTTTCTACTTTCACCTCTCTCACCCTCCCATTCATCCTCTCCTCCGCCCTCACCGTCCCCTCCTCACCCACTTCCCCACCCATCCCCTCCCCCTCCTCCCCCTCCTCCTCACCCCCGTCCCCAACCCGCCGCAGCTGCTGCCACGTGGCGATCACAGAGCGCCGCATCTCTACGATCCGACGGTGGGAATTCGAGTGCTTTTCCGCGACATACTCGGGGGAATTCGCGGGGCGATACTCGGCGCACAGCCGCCCGGACTTGTAGCGCACTCCGCACGCGTTGCACAGCGTCTTGGGCCCGTACGGCCCTGCGCGCCACTGGGGGGTTTTCGTAACGGAGCAGTGTAGGCAGCGCCGCACAACACCACCAGCAGCACCGTTCGACGCTGCCGCTGCTGCTGTCGCATTCGCATTCGCATTCGCAGCGGAATCGCCAGTAGCGGCGGCGGCGGCGGCGGCGGCAGCAGCGGCGGCAAGGGAAGTACCGTCAGCAGTAGCGTCGGTGGAAGCAGAGGGAGTGGCAGGGCCTTTCGCCGCTGCTGACGAGATTGGTGCCGTCGCCATGTTACCACCAGTACCAATTTCGCCAGCCAATGACGAAGCACCAGAGAGACTCGGCAGACCTGACGACAGGGAACCACACGGTACCCCATCTGGCCCCGAATCTCTTCCTGCTGCGGTTTCCACGACGCCATTGGCCGCGACCGCGCTTTCGGGCAGCTGAAAAACGGACTCCACCTGCCCGGAAAAGAAGTCCGGCCCGTAGGAAACGGTGCTGGCGCTCCGGTCGGAGCTTGAGACTGACAGCCGCGAGAGAGGGGACGGCTTGTGGCTTTTAATCGCATTCAGCCTTCCAGACGCTTCGGCAGCAGCAGCGCCAGCAGCACCACCAGCAGTGCCACCAGCAGTAGCGCCAGCAGCAGCAGGGGAGTTTCTATGCAGGGGCGACGAGAGGATAGGCACAATATAACTAGCAGCAAAGCCAGCACCACCAGCTGCCGCACCAGCAGCAGCCTTACCTCCTCCTGCTGCTGCTGCTGCTTCCGCCTCTGCTGCTGCGGCGGCAGCAGCCAATCGGGCAGCAATGGCGGCTTTAGAAGGGCGACCTCTGGGTCTCCCCGTGTAAGGCGGCCTCCCCTTGCCCTTCTGCCTGCCCCTCTGCTCAGTCTGCGCCTTTTTGTGCTTCCTGTTCCTTCCACTCTGCGCGGACGCGCCGTACTGCTTGCTCGCGCGAAAATACCCGTTATAAGCTCGAACCCGCGAGTGCTCTTGCTGCTCCCACTCCTGCCCCTCCTCTCCCTCGTCGTCCTCCTCTTCCTGCTCCTCCTGCTCCTGCCGCCGCCGCCACTGCTGCCGCCGCTGCTGCTCCTGGTCTGACAACCATTGCTCGTCCGTTTCGTGCTCTGGCGCGTACGTCTCCTCCGTCGGATGGAGCAGATCGTTCAGCAGATCAACGGTCCAGGTTCGCCCACGAGCGAAGGGCCGGTGAGATCTCGGCCGTTTGCCGGGGATGGGGGAAAGCAAGAGGCGGTCGAGCGGGGAGGGGGAGGGCGGGCGGGCGGAAGGGGAGGCGGAGGGAGCGCGGGCGGAAGGGGAGCGGGGGGAGCGGGAGGGCGGGGAGCGAGGGGAGGAGGGGGAGGGGAGAGAGTAGGAGGAGTGCAGAGGAGCAAGAGTGGAGATAGGGCTTCCGGAGTAGCCATCCTGATCGCACATCAAATCCTTTCGAGCCACAGAAATCGCCATGGATCCGCCACCTGTCTTGCCGTCGCTTTTGCCATTGTTGTTGCCACTGCCGTAGCTCCCGCCCTTGGCGCTCCTCCGGAGGCCAGCGGCGTTGCTGTGAGGCGCGCGCCTCGTCTTGCCCGCCACAGACGCAGCGTGCGGGGGAGCGCGCGCGGAGGGGGCGGAAGCGCCCGCGGCAGAGGAGGGCCTAGCATGGCTGGAAGGGTGATGCGGCGGCATGGGCAGGAACGAGGCGAGGTCGTCCGCAAAGAGACCCGCGCCCAGCGCCAACAGGCAATCGTCGCCCTGCGCGCGGAAGGGGAGGAGATGACGGAGAGGGAGAGGTGGGGGAGAGGTGGGGGTGAGTGGGAGGCGAGAAAAGGAGAGAAGTGGAGAGGTCGTCCGAAAAGAGACCCGCGCCCAGCGCCAACAGGCAATCGTCGCCCAGCGCGGAAGCGGAAGGGGAGAGCGCGGGCGGAGGGGGAGAAGACGAGAATGTTGGTAAAAGCATGGGGAAGAGGCGCGGGGGAGGGGGGAGGAGGGGGGGTTGTGCACGCAAAAAAAGCATGCAATTTCGCGCGCCGACGGCAATTTCTCATTTGCGTCTTCCTGGGACCGTTCAGCTCTCTAGAGGTGTCGCGTTGCGCCTGTAAGGTTAGTCCGTACGTGTACGTGCTGCTCCGTCAAACCCCTCCAAAACCCTGACGCCTCTCACGACATATTCGTTTGCCCCGCCTCTCGCCTCTTGGAGACGTCTCGTCTCGAAGCTAGACTTGAAGCCTCGAGGCGCGAGTACACGACAGCAAGAAGTACGGGAAACATATTCAAGCCTCAAAACGTGACATGGTTCTGATTTCGACGGTTATCTTTCTCAAGCCACAGCAACGCACCAGCAGTGCCGTCAGCTTGTCGTCACAACACTTGCATGCCTCACGATGTCGCGCTCAACAGCATGTCGCACGTCGGAAGCTCACCAACACGTCGCACGCTCACTCCAGCATGACACACGCTCACTCCAACATGTCGCAAGCTCACACCAGCACGCCGCACGTTCTCACCAGCACGTCGCACGCTCTCACCAGCACGTCGCACGCTCTCACCAGCACGTCGCACGCTCTCACCAGCACGTCGCACGCTCTCACCAGCACGTCGCACGCTCTCACCAGCACGTCGCACGCTCTCACCAGCATATCGCACGTCGCAAGCTCACCAGCACGCCGCACGTTCTCACCAGCATGTCGAGCGCGTCGCCTGCGGGCAGCATGTCCTCGAAATCCGCGAGGCAGCGCGTCTCCAACCCGTCGAGGCACCCCATGCCATCCATCGGGTCAACGCAGTCGACGCGGTCAACGCGGTCAACGTGGTGAACGGAGTCGCTGCGCACGGAGTCAGCGGGGTCAACGCAGTCAACGCGGTCAAGCAAGTCGATGGGGCCCGCGATGTCGTCTGTAGAAATGGCGAGCAAGTCTTCCTCTCCTTTCTCTCCTTCCTCATCCGCCTCCTCCCCGTCTCCCTCTCCTCTCTCTTCTCCTTCCTCCTCTCCCTCGTCCGTCTGCTCTTCACCCTCCGCCTCTCCCTCTTCCGCCTCCCCCTCCGCCGCGCCTTCTTGATGGTCTGATTGAGCGCCTTCCCTGTCCACGTCAGCATGCTCCTCGTCCGCGTCATCATCACGGCCGCCCGCATCCCCCAATTGCCCTCCTACGATTTCCACACTTGTCGCATTCATCCACTCCCGCTCCTCCACTCCGTCTCTGAAATCTTCCTTGTAACCCGCGTCGCCCGCGTTTCTCGCGTCGTGAGGTTCCCTTTCTCCTCCGCTCACTCCTCTATCTCCCTCGGCTTCCTCCGCCTCCTTCGCCTCCTCCGCCTCGGGCTCTTGAATCCCGATATCCGCGTTTTCCGCGTCAGCTCGTGCCGCTTCGAGTTCTTATGCAGGACACGAAGCACCGCCGACGTCGGGAGATTGCGAGGGCACCGCGGAAACGGTTTCCGCCACGTCAATCCATTGCGAGTGCGATTGCGATTGCGCAGCAGCAGTAGGCTGCTGAGCGAAGAGCAAGAGAGGGAACCAGAGAGAAAGGGAGAAAACGGGAGAATAACAGGACGAGTTCAGTCAACATGACAGATGGAGAAGGAGCGGGGAGAGAGAGGCAAGGATCGAGGAACGCGGAACGAGGAGCGCGGAAACGGCGGAGCAAGATAGTAGGTCAGGGAACAGCGGCTAACGAGAAGAGTCGAATCCGCGGAATTCGAGCGCCGCGGAAACTGAGGGCCGCGGGGAATTTTATAAGGCGCTCTGATGAGGAAGGGAGACGGTGGGACGGACGGACGGATGGAGGTCGCGGGAACGACTCTATGTGGAACGTCGCTCGGGGAAACGACGCACGGGGGAACGGCGCTCAAGAGAACAGTACTTGAGGGAACAGTGTTTGAGGGAACGGTGCTCGGGGGGACGTCCTTTGGGGTACGGCGCTTGGGAAAACGGTGCTCTGGGAAACGGCGCTAGGTGGAACGGCAGCAACGGACGGTGGCGCAAGGGAAAGAGGCGTGCGCGAGGGAAGAACGAATAACGTGGACGCAGCGTCGGCGCGACAGCTCAACGAGTGACTATAGCGGAGAAGCCTGTAACATCGAGGACAATAACGCACCAGGCAGTAGCGGCACTGACGAAGCGTCCCAACCAAGAATAGCGGTACGATCCCAATCCAACCAAAGAAGCATCGCCACGCCGCGGCGGCACCGGGTACACGACGGCTACAACGAAGATGTAGGCGCCTCGAAATTCGACTCTAAAAGCTGAGCTCACATCAGCTCTCGGCCTACCATTGGCTCGATCTACCGTTGCTTCGGCATACCATCGCGCGACCTATGCTGGTTCGGCCTACCGGTAGTCGCTCGGAAGAAAAACCTCGTTCCTAACGCTACTTATAAGCGCGAGCCGTCACTTATAGGTCAACCAACCTGCTGCTCCGCACTCGACGGGTTTCTTGACCGCGACTCGGGACAGAAAACAGAGCGTGTGCACCCGTCCTCGTCCGTCAATCCAACCGTTCGTCCGTCAGTGAAGACGGTGCGGTCAGACGTGCCTCCGTCAACGTTCGCGGCTCCCACCAGAGCAGCGATTGGTCTCCGCGGACACGCTGACTTCCCCGACGAATCGCCGGCGAGAACGGTAACCGGAGCTTCGCACGTTTCGCGAACGGTCTGACGCGCCAGATGCCCGGCACCAGGAGGTTCTGGCGAATGGTGAAGCTTCTGCAGCGCCGTCGGACGCGGCTCCGACGGCATCGTCCCGAGAGACGCGCGCCTCGGGTGAAACGACTCAAGGGCCGTGACGCCTCGAGCCACGGGATCGACTGCGCGGAGCGGGGATGACGGAGCAGCCATGGCTGGTTCCGAAGACGCGTGGTGCGCTTGGGTGCTTCAGACGCGCGCGACGGAAACGGAAAGAATGATGGAGAATATTTTTGCAGGGAGGGTAGGGGAGTGGAGTGTTGAACCAGGAGTTTCGATGGTGAAAGGAGGTTGAGGAAGAAAGGGTGAGAAGCAGGAGAGACGATAAATTTGGATAGCCTGGTCTGGTGCAAGGGGAAGGTGAAGGGGGAGTTGGGAACACAAGACGGCAGCAGGAATGGGCGAAAGTAGGCAGTGAATATGTGCAAGTTTGTCCGCGCATTGTTTGATTCGAAAACCGGCAGCCAGTTCGCAAGTTGGAAAACTCGTGTGAGAGCGGAGCGGAATGGCTGATTGAAGAGTGACTGCGAGGAAATGAGCAGAATTCTAGGTTGCAGCGGATGAATGAAAGATAACGGGAGCGCACAAGAGCAGCGGGGGAGGGGGGAAGGAGGATTCAGAGCGAGGGGGAAGGGGAAACGAGCGGAGCAGGTCGGGCAGAAGGTGAATGAGTACTAGCCTGGACCGCGGAGTGCGCAAAATACTCCGGAAGAAGGCGGAAGGGATTGTGCGGGGAGGGAGGGCAGGAAGTTGGGGGTGCCCAGGCCCACTGCCCACCTGGTTGGTTTGGTCGGCTGGAAGGACTTGGTTGGCGTTGGGGGCAGAGGGAGCTTGACGGGGATGGGAGTTCTGTGGGGGGACGGTGACTTCGAGGAGAGAGGCGGAAACGGTGGTTTGACGTGACTGGCTGGTCCTATTGAGGCGGAAAGATTGCTGTTTCTACTCCGCGCACTTGTTTCCGCTGCTGTAGAGCACGCAGCCGGTTGTGCTCGCCTGAACCGAGCCAGACTTGCGCACTTTCTATCTGCGCACTCCAGCCTTCCCCCACAAGGTTTCCGAATGGTTCACGCACAAATGCCCCACGACGGGGCTGCAGGCAGAAGCTAACGTTTCGCGCGTGCGCGTGGAGATCGGATCAATCAATGCTGTGTGGGATGGGCTGCGGCGAGGCACTGCCATGCTGGTGCTGCCATGGCGCTCGCTGCTTGGCCCTCCAGTCTCGGAGGACTCGTTGGCTTTGATCCTGAGGTATTCCGCGCGCCTGTTCAAGGAATTTGTTCTCCGCCATCTGCCTACAACATGGGAGGAGGCAGGCGGGGGCAGGCCGATCGTCTCCGCGGAGAAAAAGGTCGGTCAAGCGGTTGGAATTGGAATTTGGAAACTGAATGTCCTGTCGCGCGCGGAGATTCAAAGCTGACCAGCTAGGCGGGCAGGGAAGGAACATGAATCCACCAATCAGAGTACCTGGTCCGTGAGGGAGGGGCACCGGCAGCGCAGGCGTGTTTTTTTTTTTTTTTTTTTCGAAGGAAACGAGACGGTTGCGGGGAAATGCTCGAGTGGTTGAGTTCAGTGAAGCTGGTCCTGGCTTGGTGACTGTTTTCTGTCATACTGCTGACTCAGGCACAGAGCGATACGGCCAAGTCATTGGATAATGTGCAAACTGCTTGAGCCTTTTCCCTGATTTCGGGAGCTCAAGGCATCGCACCAGTGGAATATGCCCTGGGTGGGTCGATGTAATTTTGGTTCTCATGAAATAGTTGACCTACCCAAAACAGTTTTCCTCGTTCCTCAGCATAGTCGCGGGACTTTGTGTAAACCCCCGCCCCACCCCACCACCTCAACCCCCTTCCCCCAACCCCCTTCCCTGCGCGCCCCCCCGCCAACTTTCTCCCCCCACCCCTTCCCCCGTCCCTCACCGCTCAACTGGTGCTTTGACAAGCGAACTCCATGGTCAAACAGAGACCCAGCTTGAACCACGGGACAGAGGGCGTGAGGATAATCAGGTCAGGTCGGCTCCCCGATTCGAGGGCTCTGCTGGACGAATGGGCAGTCAATGAGCACACAGAGGAGCAATGCTCCCAAAGCTTTGCCCGTGACATGGGATCCTCAAGATTCGCGGGGGCTGTGAGTGTGCCACATATGGACACAGTTTCACGAAATACTGGGCGAGTGTCGACGATGCCTAACGATCTTCGCATGACCAATACAGGATGGAACCACCTTGATATTTCTCGCACGAGATGACGCGTTGGAGCCAATCAGCTAACTAACGTCGAGTTCGATATAGAGAACCTCAGATAGATCATCTAGTGAGTATGAACTGAAGTGAACAAGAATACCATCATACGGCTTCACAATGAGGAAGAGAGACTCACTAGTTCGGAAGGATATTGCTGGTATTGTGTGAATGGAAAGCTGCTAAATATTTTAGGTGAGTAATTCTAAAAAACACTTTTAATACGCAAAATTGACCGACCGGGTACCAAAAACACGAGAAACATGTCCTTGATAGCAGAAAAATAATGTTATTTTACAAAAATAATATTTTCTGGGATTTATTACATCTCCAATCGAAAGAAAAAAAAACCTATATTATCGTGGATATGTGATTGCTGCAGAGAAAAACAAGGTGTGCTTGTGCATCTGATCTTGCCGTTTCATCCACACCGCCTCGTACCACATAAAACGGTGTCAACCGCCATTTACACCAGTTTCTGTCAGCCACCAAGCTTGCCACCACCAGTATTTCCAGCCTCGATCTTCCCACAACTTTGCAGCATCCTCCGGTTCTGCCTCGCCTGTCGTGCTGCCTGTTCACTGTACCTTGATTACTTCGAGGATTGCTTCATAGTCGCCGCTTCTGGCTGCTGCTTGTTACGTACTTCCGTCACCAGCCAATGACATGAACCCACTCATACTATGAGTTTTCATTTATAGAACACCTCCGCATTCTTCCCACGGTCACTGCCACACTGCGAGTGTCCCGTTCGCCGCTCCTCCAGCCGCCACACTGCTGCATCTGCCGCTGCTGCAGCTGCTTCCTGTCTCTCGTCTCTCGCATGCGACGCATCTCCAGTCGACTGCACGGAATGACTCATACGACGCGGAATGGCTCATTCGACATATAATGAAAAGAGTGGCTCACGCCGCGTCGCGCATGAAATGCATTCTAGCCGCTACTATTGACTGCTGCTCCTAGCAACGACTAGAGCGTGACGTCTTCCCGTCTTTTGAGAAATCTCAAAAGTGCTCCTAGTAACGGCTTTACATCAGCATGAAGATTTCCTACCACTCGCACGCTGACGATTTCCTACCACTCGCGACTAGCTGCTTCTGCCGCTGCTGCTGCTGCTAGTAACGATATAAGCATGAATTCTTCTTCCCGCCTCTCGCACGCGACACGTAATAGTCGTTTACTTCTGGAACGTCTCAAAAGTCGCACGCGACACGTAATAGTCGTTCATGAGTGACGCGTCGCGGTCGCCATGTCGTCCAGCCGCCATTACTGGTTGCTGCTGCTTGTAACGGATAGTGACAGCTAGTAACCCGGTCCAGCTCAGAAGGGACTCACGCGTCGCCGCAGCGATGCCCTCCAGTCGCCATTACTGGCTGCTGCTGCTCGCGGCGCTCGCAGCGCTCGCGTGCTGCTGGTAACGATTAGTAACGTCTAGAAAGGGCCTGACTGGATCGGGGCTGACTCGACTCAAGACACAGCCATGCCTTCCAGCCGCCATTACTGGCTGCTGCTGCTAGCGGCGCTCGCAGCGCTCGCGTGCTGCTGGTGGGTCGTTCTCTTCCCGCTCGCCCTCTCCCCCTCTCCGATCGATTCGGGTCAAACTCGTGCCGTGCTACAGGACGCGCGATACGTCAACGAGCTGTCGCGAACTTCGCTGCATTCGCGCGATTCGTTGCAGCCGAAACGGCAGCAGGAGGAACCGAAGGAAGGGGACGAGGAGGTGGGGGGCCGGATCCGGCCGAGATCTGACGGTGGAGATTCGAGATTTGGGATTGCGGGTCCACGTCAGCAGCACTGCATCGTTATCGACGCGGGGAGCACGGGAACGCGGTTGTACGTGTATGAATGGGAGGGATGGGGGACAGACGGATGGAGAGGTGGAGGGACAGGTCGAGAAAGAGGTGGAGGGCAAGACAACAGGAAGAATGTGAGTGACAGCAGGGAGATGTATGGTTCAGATCCCAGTTCCGATCCCAGTGTCCCTGTGAATCTGCCTGTGATTCGGCAGCACGAGCAGAAGGTTCAGCAGGAGCCGTTCAGATTTGACCCCCAACAACAACAACAACAGCTGCAGCAGCAGCAGCAGGGCCGACGAATAGGAGGCTTCCAAACAGAACCTTTGAAGCAGATACAACAACCACAGCAGCAGCAGCAGCAGCAGCAGCAGCAAAAGCGAGCGTACAACCGAAAGGAAACCGAACCTGGGCTAGATAAGTTCCTGAACGACCCCCAAGGGCTTCGTGAACGCGCCCTTGGTCCGCTCCTCGATTGGGCCCTGCAGGCCATTCCAAACCCGGCCGCCCGGGCTGCCACGCCTGTGTTCCTCTTCGCTACAGCCGGGTTGAGGAAGCTTCCTGTTGAGGAGTCTGAGTGGGTTCTGGAGGAAGTGAGAGAGGTTCTGAGTGGTTCAGGGTATTGGTTTAAGAGGGAATGGGTTAGGATAATTTCAGGGGTGGATGAGGCAGTTTATGGGTGGATTGCGCTGAATTATGTTGCAGGACGGTTTGCAGGAGTGGAGAGCGGTGAGAGGAGGAGATTGGTGGGTGGAGAGGGGTTATTGGAGGGGGGTGCAGAGGGGAAGGGGGAGAAGGAGGGGCAGAGAGAAGGGGAGAGGCAGCAAGAGGAGGAGGAGAGGGATGCGAATGGGGCAGAGAGTGAAGGGAACGCGGGGAGGAGGCTGTTGCAGCAGGAAGGGCGGCTGGAAGGGTGGCAGGAAGGGCGGCAAGAGGGGCAACAGGAGCGGAAGGAGGTGGAGGAGGAAAGGCGGATGAAAGGGTTGGAGGAAGCAGGAGTGGTGGAGGAGAAGGAGGAAAGCGAAAAGAGGGAGATGGGCGAGGAGATGGAGGAGAAAAGCAGGGTTCAGAGAAAGGGGGAGCAGGAGGAGGAGCAAGAGGCAAGGGGGGAGTCAGGAAGAGATGGAATGGAGGGCGGATTGGAAGGGGAGGAAGAGGAGGCGGCAAGGCGTCGGAGTGAGGAGGAAGAGAACGAGGAGGTGGAGAGGAGAAAGAGGCTGATTGTTTCTGTGCAAAGAGAAGTGGGGCGGGGCGGGCTGGGGGGGTTGAGAGGCACAGGGGATGGTGAGGAAGGAGGGGGCTTGAAAAGCGATGGTGCAGTCGAGGAGGAAGAGAAGGAGGAGGCAGAGAGGGGTGTGCAAGGAGATGCGGTGCGGGGCGGCCTGGGGGGTTTGAGAATAGATGGTGGAGCAGAGGGTGGAAGGGGTTTGACAGGCGACAAGGAGGGCAAAGGGGAAGGGGGTCTGAGATTAGGGACACTCGAAACGGGCAGGGGTGGAGGGGAGGGTGAGGAGGAGCAAGGGAGAGTGGTGGGGAGAAGAAAGGCCCAAGAAGAGATGGAGGTGGAAACAAAGCAGAATGGGGAGAGGGACGAGGAGAGGGGAGAGGAGAGGGAAGGAGGTGGGAGTGAGGCAGCAGAGGGGGAAGGAGAGGAAGCAGCAGGGGAGGTAGCAGGAGAACAGGCTGCAGAAAAAGCAGGAGAAACGGCAGGAGAAACGGCAGAGGAAACGATAGGGACTCTAGACCTGGGGGGATCCAGCCTGGAGGTCACCTTTGTGCCACGTGTCACATCCTCATTGGCCGCCGCATCCACCCCTGCGAGGTACCTGACAAACGTGTCGCTAGGTGGGCGACGGTTCAGCCTGTACGCTCACTCCCATGAGGGGTATGGGATGAATGACGCATTTGACCGCTCTGTTGCTTACCTGTTGCATGAGGGGAGGGGGGAGGTGGAAGGTGGAAGAAATGTGGGGGGCGGAGGAGGTGGAGAGGAGGATAGGGAGGAGGATGGGGAGGGGCGTGGCGAGCGAGATGGGGAGAAGGACGGTGGGGAGGATGAGGGGGTGCAGAGCGGTGCAGGAGAGCTTGGGGGTGGGGGAGAGAGAGGAGCAGAGAGGTTGTTGGCTGGAAGTGGGATGGGGTCGGCCAATGGGGGAATGACACGTGTCGCTCATCCGTGCCTCCACGCGGGATACAAAACGCTCCACACTGTGAGGAGAAAATGGGCTGCTGCTGACGTGGACAGGGCAGCAGTGGATGGGCCAGCAGGGGAATCCACCAATCAGACCACTCCAGGCAGGCAAAAGAATCCTGAGGTGGAGGTTTTCGGGCAGCCAGACTGGGCAGAATGCATGACCCTCACTCGTTATGTGGTGGCTTCTGGCATGAAGAGCACAGCAGCTGCAGCAGCCGGTATTGCCTCTCGCGACAGGGGAAGTGCAGCAGCAGCAGCAGCAGCAGCAGCATTAGCGGGCAATGTGGCATGTGGGACGGCAAGAGAAGGGGCGGACCCGCCTCCCTGTGCTCTGGGCGTGCACCAGCCTACATTCAAGGGGCGCTTCTCTGCTCTTGCAGGCTTCTACGTTGTCTCTCTCTTCTTTGGGGTTTTCCATGAACCGCTGCCCCAGCAGCTGCAGCCGCAGCCGCAGCAGCAGCAGCAGGAGCAGCAAGAACAGGAACAGGATTCTGAGATAAAAAAAAACTCTGCTAAACTAGGGTTGGGGCAGACCTTACGGGGTTCTATGGGCAGGCAAAGAGGTGCCGCCGGGCAGGCCGGGCAGCTGGATTTTTTCACCGACGGGCAGGCGGCTGAGCCCATCCCCCGTGGCAACACCTCAGCTGCCCTGGAGGCAATTTTGGCCCGCGGGCAGGCGTACTGCTTCCGACCTTGGCCCGAAGTCCAGGCAAAGTGGGGCGGCCTAAAAGGTTTCGAGCAGAATTGTTTCCGGGCAGCTTATGTGGTGGTGCTGCTGAGGGAGGGGCTGGAAATAAAGGACGAGCAGGTGGATCTGGGGGAGGGTGTATCTGGGCAGGTGTCTTGGACTCTCGGTGCTGCTCTGTATGAAGGGGTGCCGGCTGTTGCTGCCCTTGCTTCCTCCTCCTCTGTTGCTGCTGCTCGTGCTGTTAATTCTGCTATTGTCGATGGGGGTGCTGCTTCCTCTGCTGGTTCTTCTGCTGGTGCTGGTGCTGCTGCTGCTCATAGCAGTGCTGGGCAGGTGGTATGGAAGCTTGGGGATGCAGGCTCGGAACCTGGTTCGGTGGCTGGCTCAGGGGATGCAGCAGAAGAAGCGCCTGAAGAGGCAAGCAGGGAGGAAGGGGACGTGGCAAATGCAAACAGTGAGCTCGACACCACCACCAGCACCACCACCACCAGCAGCAGCAGCAGCAGCAGCAACCGCAGCAGCAGAAGCAGCAGCGGTAGCAGGGGAGGTTGGTGGTGGTGGGGTGGGGGAGGAGAGACCTTAACCTCCAGGAGCAAACCACAGCCACATCGCCGCTTCCTCGGAACCTTCCCAGCAACGAGCAGCGAGGGAGAGGGAGATGGAGAGGGAGGCACGGACAGAGACAGCAGCAGCAGCACCACCAGCTTACTCCTCCTTTTCCTTGTAGTTTTCTCCGTCGCTCTGGCGCTCACAGCAGTGCACAGGAGGGGCAAGCGAGGAGGCAGGCTCGCAGCAGGCATGGGCATGGGCATGGGGACAGTTACTCCCACGAGCATGGGCATGGGCATGGGGGGCATGCGGTGGATGCAGCAGCTGGCCAGGGCTCTCTTTCCTCCTCCTTCCTTCATCCCTCCCTCCTCCCTCCACAGACGACCCTCAACAGCCCCCTGGTCTTCTCCCTCCAAGGCACGCTCTGGTGAGGTCCGTAGTCGCCCCTCCCTCCCTTCGTCCCTCCCTCCCTCCCTCCCTCCCTCCCTCCCTCCCTCCCTCCCCTCCCTCCCTTCCCCCCCTCCCTCCCTCCCCCCCCTCCCTCCCTCCCTCCCTCCCTCCCTCCCTCCCTCCCTCCATCCTCCTCCTCCTCCTCCTCCTCCTCCTCCTCCTCCTCCTCCTCCTCCTCCTCCTCCTCCTCCTCCTCCTCCTCCTCCTCCTCCTCCTCCTCCTCCTCCTCCTCCTCCTCCTCCTCCTCCTCCTCCTCCTCCTCCTCCTCCTCACCTTCCCTTCTTTTTTCTCACCTGTTCAGTCGTCCCCGTCTGATGACAAACCCACACTAGCCCGCCTCGCCCTTCTGCCTCTCCCTTTTGGTCCTCTCTTCCAATAGTCATCTCCCCCTGAAATAGGACAAGTTTTGAGGCGCCTCAAAACTGTTTTGAGTCTACCCAAAAGTGTGTTTGAGGCCCCTCAAAGCTCGACCTCCTTCCTCTCTTTTTCGACCCTCTCTGCCAGTAGTCATCTTCCCTTCTTCACGTCTCAAATGGGACGAGTTTCGCGGCGCCTCAAAACTCGTCTCTTTTCCAACTATCACCTCCCTCCCCTTTCACCACTGCTCTCATTTTCTTTTGTGCTTTCCACTCTCACCCTCTCTTCCCCCCCACCCCCATTCCACCTCTCATCCCTCACTCTCTCCCTCCAGGGGCCTGGTTCCTCTCCTTTCCTCGCCCCCCTCGTTTCCTCCTCTTCCTCTTCTCCCCCTTCCTACTCCGCTCGCGCTCCTCTCACCCTCCCCCGCTCCTTCCTTCTTCCCTTAGGCCGGGCGACATAACCCTTGGGGTTACCACTGGCAGCACCAGTAGCAGCAGCACTAGAGGCAGCAGCAGCAGCAGCGGCGGCACTGGCAGCAGCACCAGCATCAGTGGCAGCAACAGCAGCAGCAGCAGCAGTGGTGGTGGCAGGGGAGAGGGGCTGGTGCAGGGGAGCTTGACTCCCAAGCGCTCTGCTTCGTCCGTGCAGCGAATGCGGCCCAACAGAAAGAGCTCGTCCGGCCTTGACCTAGCATCTGCACGATGATACGATATACCTGCGCAACAACCAGCCCTGGTTGATTATGTAAAAATATCAAGTTCGTTTCAGCAAAATTGAAGAGTGCAATTCGACTAGAAGAGGAGTTTGCTATACAGGAGTTTGCTACACCAGTATGATAACACGGTACAGGAAATGTACCATCAACCTCCTGCATGTTCCCGCAGGTCTCCCCATACTGTACACCTGTGACCGCTGCACTGCACACTCCTCTTTGGGTCATGAGTCATGACAATTATATGGTATTAATAAGTACACTACCTCTGATCATGGTCCCCTTTATAAGCCACCCTAGGTTCTGGATAAATCCAATACCCTAAAATAAGATAAGAAAAAGGTGCTTTTATGGCATGGGTGTATGGAATGCTCCCAACCACCCAGTCATTTACAGGTGCCAGGTGGCAGCCCTGTGGCATGTGAAGAAATAGAGAGCGGCAGGCAAGCAGGCGTAATTTTTATCTCGCCCTGATACAGATTGAATGCTGAGAAGGGCACTCGAGTTTGACCTCAAGACAAGACACACTTTGCTTGCGCAAACACCACACCACAGTATGGTGGTACACTGAACCAAGACATGCACATGCATGCCATATACCACGAGTTCCTTGGACACAAACGCTTGGCAGAATAACGCGCACACAGTGGTGGTGCAATTGTGTTGTGACACACACAGCAACAAAAACGATAATCCAACACGCAAGATATAATCACCACCACACCTAAGCCCATTGTCTTCTTCCTGCTAGTCACCCGAGTTTAAAGCGCTTTGCTGGTGTAGTTACCCTCGTTCAACTTGCTCCCCCTGGTGTAGTTACCCTTGTTCAACTTGCTCCTCCTGGTGTAGGCATACCAGGTGGTGTAACTGGTGGTGTACCCTGCAAAGAAACCCCGTGGTGTGAGTCTACCCCCCCATGCGCTCCCCATCTCCCCCCAAGTGCACCTCCTTCCCCCCCCTCTCTCCTCACCCTCAGCCCACCCTTCCACAAACCCTTCCCTCCTCCACCTCCCAGCAACCACCGCTTTCCGCCCTCCCGGTCTCGCTCCCCCCCCGGCAGCACCCCCCCACTACAGGCACTGGCAGCACTCCCCACTGAAGCAGAGCCACCAGCACCAGCAAGAGCACCACCACGGGTACCATCACCACCAGCAGCAGCAGCAGCACCATCACCAGCACCACCAAAACCACCACCACCACCAGCAGAAGCGGCGGCGGCAGCGGCAGCGTTAGCATCGTCCCCTTCACCCTGCCTCTCACTGAGAGAGCTGCTTCTCATCATCCTCCAAGCGTTTCTCAGCATTGGAGACATAGGACTTGAACCCCTCACCCTCTCCCCCCCCCCTCCTCCCCCCCCTCTCCCTCTCCCTCCTCCCCCTCCCCCTGCTCGACTACCCCGCACTCCCCACGGCACATGCACCCCCCCGAACCTCCCCTCGCCTCCCCCTCCCTTGCCTGCACTCACTCCCAGCCCCCTTCGTGCCCAGGTGACCCGGATGCCACCATCAGCACCAGTCGACCCAGCGGCAGCCATGCATTCAATGGCCCTCCCAGCAGCAGGAGCAGAGTCTGAAGCATCTGTCCCCCCTTGCCCGTCCATGGAAAAATGCCTCACATGCATGTTCTTGGCCTTTAATCGGCCCTCTTTCCCCTCCTCGCCCTCCTTTCCCTTACCCTCCTTCCCCTCACCACCCCTGTCACCCTTCTGCCCGCTAAACCCCCCGTCACTGTAACCAGCGTTACTGTAGCCAGCATCACTGTAGACAGGTCCGTTAAAAGCAGTGTTACTGTACTGTGCGGCTGTGGAGAGAGACGGCGGATAGGGCGAGTAAACCGGAGCAGAGAGAGGGAGCAGCGGGGCTGGATTCCCGGTTACCCGGTTACCGTACGTGTCAATGGGTGCCCCATACTCGTCCTCCTCCCCATCATCCTCATAGTACCCCTGAGGGCCAATATATGACGGCTGAAGTTGAGACGTGCCTTCCTGGTAAGACCCCTGAGGGCCAATATATGACGGCTGAGATTGACACGCCCCTTCCTGGTAGGACCCTTGCGGGCCAATATAAGAGGGCTGAAATTGAGATGCCCCCCCCTGGTAATACCCTTGCAAGCCCATATGAGATAGTGCTTGCTGTGAGGCGGGTGCATATGATATTGCTGCTGCTCCGCTTGCTGCACACTCCCTTGCTGCCGCTGCCCCTCCTGCCACCCCTGCCCGCCCTGCTGCCAGTGCCATTCCACCAGCAGCAGCTGCAACCATACCCACACTATCTCCACCCGGGCGGCACTCCCCACTTGCCGCCGCCCAAGATCCGCTCTCCGTCACCCACGATTCGTAGTCGGATGCCGCAGCCGGGCGGCGAACAGGGGGGGCGGCGGAGGGATGAAGTGGCGGGAGTACGGCAGGGGTGGGAGGAGCAGCAGTAGGAGCGGGTGTGTTAGCATGAGGCAGAGGGATGGAGGCAGTAGGAAGGGGAGGAGAGGAAGGGACAGCATTTGTAGGGACCGGAGGGGGAGCAGAGGGGTTGGGGAAGGAGAGACCAGGTGCGAGAGGGGAGGCGAGGCGGGGGTTTGGTATCCGGGGGAAAGAGGAGTGGGGAGGCAGGGCGCCGGGGGAAGGGGAAGGGGAGGGGGAGGGGGAAGGGGAGGGGGAAGGGGAAGGGGAAGGGGAAGGAGAGGCGGTGGCGGACGGAGGGGCAAGGGGAGGCTTGGAGAGGGGGGATGGGGAGGGGGAGGGGGAGGGAAAGGGGGAGGGTTTAGACGGCAAAGAGGGTTGGGGAGGAAAGGAGGCGGAGAGAGGGGAAGGCATGGAATGGTTTATACTTGGGGGAAGAGGGACGGGAGAGTGAGCGAGTGGGTTGGATGGGAAAGGCATGGAAAAAGTCGACGGGTGAGAGAGCAGGTTGGGCTCGTATCGGCTGCTACTGCTGCTGCTGCTGCTGCCGATGGTGGTGGTGCTGCCGGTGCTGATAATACTGGTGGTGCTGACCGTGCTGCCCGTGCTGAGCCTACCAGTGCTGCCACTGCTGAGCCTGCCCGTGCAGGCAACATCACCAGCACCAGCAGCACCATCAGCATCACCAGTATCGCTGCTCACAGCGCCCCCCTGACTTGCGTGCAGTCTGCTCCTGGGGAGCGGGGGAGCGGGACACGTGGCACTGGCAGGGAGAGTCGCAGCGAGAGCGCACGGCGTAGGGAACGGCCGCGACACCCTCATATCGCCCAACCCTACTCCCAACTCGCCTGCGCCTGCCCCTCCCCCTCCCCCTCCCCCTGCCCCTGCCCCTGCCCCTGCCCCTGCCCCTGCACCCCCTCTTCTCCCCATCTCCCCAAACCCAACAGCAGAGTAGATGCGGCCAGAAGCACCAAGGAGCAGATCACCGTACGATGAGTCGTCATCATCCCACACATCCATGCCCGCTATAGTGCGCGGCGCGTGATAGTACCCCCCTACGAACGCGCCCCTGCCGCCGCGGATTGCAGCACCGGCTGTAGCCGCGGCTGTAGCACTGGCTGTAGCACCGGCTGTAGCACCGGCTGTAGCAGCGTCAGAGGCGACTGTAGCGGCGGCTGTAGCGGAGGCTGTAGCAACAGCACTTGGGTGGGTGGCAGTGTCAGGTGCATCAGCGGCAGAAGCAGCACTTTCAACAGCAGCAGCACCACCACCAACACTAGCAGTACCAGCAAAACCACCGCCAAGAGCTAGCGGAATGTCCTCAGCCGTCAGATTGACTTCCAGGGACGATGTAGATCGCGAGTTTCTCCGCGTGCGCTGGTGACGCGATACCACCCGCGTCTCGCCTATCTCCCCGTCCTCCACGCCCCTCAGCGCGTCTGACAGCTCACTCAGAAGACTCTCCCGCGCGCTCATCCTCCGCCCCCCCGCTCCCCCCATCCCCCCCCGTCCTCCAATTCCCCCCACTCCTCCCGCACCCCCACCGTTATCACCAGCACCGGTTCTTTCCCCTCCCCCTCTGCTGCCCCCTAAATCCACGATCCCCCCCCGTCCTGGTCCGTCCCCGTGGCTGAGACTAACCAGATACGCCCGAGGCGCGTCCGGGTAGCACTCGAGCCGCTCCTTGGGCTTTAATCTCCCGCGAACGCTCCACACAATCACCTCCAGGCGCGGCTCGAGCGCCTCGTGTACAATCACGTGCGCGTGGCGCGCGGATCGCGAGCGCAGGAAGACAGGCGCGCCGCCGCGCCCGTTAACGGTAGGGGCGGATTTATCCGCGTTAGAGGGAGCGGATGCATCCCCGTTATAGTGAGCGGATCCTCCTTCGCTGCTCTGCTTCTGTAGCAGCAGTAACGAATTTCCAGTCGTCCCGTCTCCGTGATTTCCGTTCATGGTCCCTGGATCTCCCATTTCGCGACTCGTCCCGTTGCTATTGCAAGCGTCACTGCTACCGCTGCTGCAACTACCACCACTACCGCCACTGCCCCCACTGCTAGCATCGACGGTACTCTCCCTCCCTCCGCCCTGCGTTTCCCTGCGCCCGCTGCCCCCACGACTGCTATGACTCAGCCTGTGGCTGTGCCCGCTGCCGCTGACGTGGCACGCGCCGCTGCTGACACGGCTCGAGCTGCTGACGTGGCCCACGCCGCCGGCCAATCGCCTGGCGAAAGCGCGGAGCGACGCGGGATCCGCGGTGGCGGGCCGCGGAGGGGTGTCCGGGGGAGGCGACGCGGGGAGCGGGGGGGAAGGGGGAGGACGCGCGGAGATTGGGGAGAAGGCGCGGCGCGCGGAAGGGGGAATCGCGGAGGCAGAGGCGGAGGCGGGAGGCGGAGAGGCGGAGCGGAGAGTGGCGCGCGGGGAGGAGGAGGAGCGGGAGGGGGAGGAGGGGGAGCGAGAAACGGAGAGCGAACAGAGCTCGATATAAGCACATCGGATGCTGTCCAGGATGGAGTAGGCGCGCGTACGGTCCAGCGCCCCGTCAGCGACTGCAAACGTGGCGAGCCCTGATTGGTCGACGGCGAACAGGACGTTGGTGCGACCGTAACCCTAGGATCCGGGGAGGGCAGGGGTTGGGTAAGGGGAAAGGGGAGGGGGAGGGGGAGGGGGAGGGGGAGGGGGAGAGGAAAGGGGAGGGGGAGGGGGAGCGGGAGATGGAGGGGGAGGGGGACGAGGAGAAGAGGGGAAGGTGAGGTGGAGGCGACGGGGAGGTGCGGACCCCGCAACGGGCGATGGGAGGCGTGAGGGACGACGGCGGTAGGGAGGAAGAGGAGAATGCAAAGCGAGGGGGGAAGATTTCTGAAAAGGGAGAACGGGAGGCGGGAAGGAGAGGGGGAGAAATAGAAGTAAAAGGAGTGAGATGAAGAGGAGAGGGCAGCGGAAGGAGATGCAAGAACAATGTGCGGCGATGGGCGGGCTGGCGGAAGAAGCAAGGGACGCAGGCGATCCGCACCATGGAGAATCTGCTGACGTGGCGCGGAATCTCGAGGAGCGCTGACGCAACGAGGCTACGCAGAAGCTTCCTCTGCTTGCCGTAATCCGCCAGCACAACCCCCCGGTGCGCCAACCCCACATAAAATATCAGCTGCGCGTCGCCAGCGTCCGCTGCTGAACGGCTTTCTGCTTCGCCGCTTACTGCGCCGCACGCTCCGCCGCATGCTTCGCGCGTGTCTCCGCGGTATAAACCCCCCCCGCGTGCGCTCTCCGCGTCCGCGCAACGATCGAACTCGGAGGAAGCGGAACAATTGGCGCGAACTGCGCCGCTGCCCTCGCTTGATGAGGGCATTGGCGCGGCTGGGCGGAGATTCATGTCCGCGGATGCGCTAGGTTTGGCGGAAGCAGATGAGGAGGGGTCCGCGGAAGGAATGGCGGAAGGAGTGGCGGAGAACGGGGGAAGCTGCGCCTGGCTGTGCTGCTCCCACGCGGAAGGATTTGCGGAAAAGGGAGCGGAAAGAGAGACGAAGGCCGTGCCTCCCGCTACCATAACTGCACCCCTCGTTACAAGAACAGCAGATCCCTCGCTGTTAAAAAAACAGGTCAACTTCGTGAAACCGTTTTTTTATAATTCTCAAAAAACGCATTCTACCTCCATGGATGCCGCGTTTCAACGGTCAACGATAGAGGGTGATAGTTGAAAATGACTCGGATACTCGGGAAGAAAACTATGGCAAATAGGTTGATTTGAGACACAACAACAAAAAAACTACGACGGCAAGAGACTCCTGTTCGAGAAGTCGAGCTCCGTACGACCCCGCCGGCTTATCGCAGATAAGCTAAAGCTCTATCCATAAAAAATCAACATGTAGCACTTTACATACCATTCATGCGAATAATATCTTAGTCGCAGCCCGCTAACAGAGCAAACCCTCACTAAACGTGAAGCCAGGCATTAATCGACTCCCTCCCCAGGACTGACGACTAAGGTGGTAAGTCATCGGAAGTTGCGCACACGACGACGCGACGCGACTGCATCACGATGCGAAGCCGGGAGTCGAGCACCCTACAGCAGCCGTTATTGGCAACCTTCTGAATCTGTTATGGAGGAAGAATGCACCCACCACCACACCACACGTTTACCTCAGGGAAAAGATTGTCTGCGTGGGGAATGGGATGGCATCATGGGAACAAGAACCGAGGATGGGGGGAGGGGTGAACTGGAGAAATCGATGGAACAGCAGAACCCATTCATCTGTGGCGTGCACTCACTCAATGGAAGACACTTCCCCAAGATTCATTCGGGATGCAGACAGTTGTTTGCGAATGGAGCAAAAGGAATCACAACAAAGTCACTTCGGGTCTTCCGAGACCTCACTTTGTGTGACCTTAGTCTGACACGAGGTACGAATGTACAAGACCCGAAACCTCGGTGAACAGATTATGTCCATATACTGCACACTGAACAGTGTGTAGGTCTATGGCTGTGCACCCATGAAGAATGGTTGGCGGGAGGAGGAAAGGAGGGAGGAACAATTGAAGGTGAGGGAGGGGGACGCCAACTTATGGGGGTGAGGAGGACGGATTAAGGGGAGGGGGAGGTGGTGCGGCTTGTTACTGTGCAACCAGATCGAGTTTCAGTTCGGTTTGACATATTTCCAAAAGATCTCTGCATGGTATGAAGGTTTGATTGTCACCCCTCGCTAGCCGCCTCTGTTGACATGCGCGCTGTGCATACGTTTTCTTCCCCCAGCCCATCAGAAATCCCTGATCGCTCGCCCCTCAGTCAGTCCCCTCCAGCGCGGCAACACCTGTATCATCTCCTGCCACCCAGGAACTGCTGAATGTAATTATGGACTGCCCGACTTGAATTTCATGAGAAACGAAATTGACATAGGGTCGATTTTAGAAAACGTGGAGGCCAGAACTGCGGCATATGACACATTTACCACAGTTCACCATAGTTGTCCGTAAAGTTTCCCTCGTACAGTGTACCTCATTGATGCTAAACCTCGGCGAAACCTCGGCGCAAAAGCCCCCACTAAGATATGGCAGGATGTCTCGATGTACAGTAAAGAAAATGCTGGATCCAGCCTTCCTTTCTACATTATCAACAGTCTCTCCTTCCCACTCCAAAACCAACCAGAATTGGGACCAGGTCCTGATTTCGTACTGCGTTGTTCGTTTGTCCGCGACAGAGGATGAAACAAGGAAATCCATTCATAATCATAGAAGGAAAAAACCATTCATCTTTCTACCACTATAGTTTGCTTCCTTTCCTGTATCAATGACAGCTCACCAGCATTCAGTGTTCCATTTGGCTCTGAACACAACCGAATTTTAAGCGTTGAATTTACTACCATATTTGCACTCATCTGTGTTGGATTGAGAATCATAAGCAGATGACAGAGAATTGTACTGACCCGCTACAAGCAGATTGTTCAATCATCTGTTTCATTGGCTGGATTGATCGCCAGATCCCCGTCCCGGGACCGAGCCCGAGCACATCTCGTCAATAGGGTCTGAGTTACCACTTTCGGTGGTGTATGGAGGGGTGGGGGGGGGGGGGGGGGGGGAGAACACACCACAAGACAGTTAGCGGTAGGCGAAAAGTCACGACGGCTCGTAAAACGAAGATAGACGAAACGAATTGTCGCGGACGACGCGTAGCCTTGGCCAGGGCGGCAGAGCACGCTCGAAGGAACGGCTTGCTTGATCATTGTGGGTCTGTGCTCATTTTGGGATCCCCGGGTAAACTCAGAAATATTGGCGGGCTATTCTCGTCAAGATACAGGACCTTGTGAAGTATCCAACATCAATGTACATTGCTACTCTCCCCTACTTCAATCCAGGGGGTCGGAGTTCCACCTTGAGGGTAATCGAACAAAAATATTTGAAGGTGCATTTACTCTGGTCGAAAGGCGTTTCGCTGCACGGGTAAGTTACCCCTCAATGAAGGTTTCTGTTCGTGAGAGTCGCTTTTGTGGTTGCTCCGCCTTATCCACAAACGTGTGTTGCGATGTGAGCATATCTGTGGCCTGCAGCAGCTCCATTGTTGCATTGCTTGTGACCTGTTGCTGGCTCTTCACCTCCTCTTGCTTCATTTAGATCAGGGTCAGTTGTTTTCAATGATAAATAAGGCATTGAATAACTGAGAATTCGCCATATAGTTGGGAAGTGTTATTTTATTCCACGGTTTGATGGCAATTGTTTGATCTGCAACGTGAGGATACTAAGTTATTGACAGAGTAACATGGAGGAGGTCGAACTAGTTTCCTACATAGGTATCGCGAAAGACGGCGCGATCCTAGCGGAGCATGGCAGAGAAGCCGACGTCTTTCGAGATCCTATATGTAACGCATCCTCCGCGATTCCCGCTCACGTCTCTCAGTACTCTCTGGTACGTGGCTTGATTTTGTGGAGCCACGCGGATTGTTTTTTTATGTATTTATTTTTGTTTGATGGCTGGAGCCAAGTGTGTTACCCTTAGGTTAGTTGCGCGTCGGAATGCGAGACTTGGGATTTAATTGCGAGTTCAATGATAATCCTACTTTGCGTTCAATGAAGGCGTCGATTGTCAATGAAGACGACGATGCGTCGACAGTTTGTTTGTTTGTTTGTTTTCAAGCACATGTGTGCACGTTATTAACACATTTTAGTAAAGCTTCGCAACGCTTGACTGTTTTTTTTTTTACCAGGTGCTGGCCGTCGGCCAGTTTTCATGGCTGACAGTGCTTTTGTATTTTCTTCAGTGCGAAAGAGGCTATCCTTTCCCTCACTTCCCTCTGATTTTTTTTTTTTTTTTCGTTCATTTCCTACCTTTGCAGGGTCACGGGGCCCTCTTGGTTTTGTTCCAGCGATGGTCGTCCGGCCTTGTCTGCTTTCTCATTGGTTACCACCCGTTCGCGAAAGACCAGGGTTGTTCGCTACTCGCCATCCTGCACAGAGTCTTCAACAAGGAGATTCTATCAGCAAGCGGGGATGTTAGTAGCGAAATCCTCGTTGGTAGCAGCCTCGTCAGCACCGAAGAAGGTTACTCTGGTTTAGCAGAAAGCTCGGACGATGGCGACGCGGAAACAGGGATCGTGTTAGCCGCGTCGTCGTCGCTTGCCACGTCAGACACGACCGTTGGCGACGGTGATGCGTTCAAAGACGTGCATAAACCCGCCCTGAAAGAACTGCCGGGCGACATTCTCGAAGCCATCAGCCAATCCATGGCGTCCACGTCAGCGCGCTATCGTGGCGTGGCGGGGAGTGGCCTACCCTCCTTGGATACCTATCCCGACGCGCCCGACGCGTACTTTACTAGCGTTCAGGAGCCGCCGCCTTTGGCGGGGAGTGACGGGGATAGCAGTAGCGAGGATGAGGACGAAGCGGCAGGGGTGGCGAGGAGGAGGAGAGAGAGGGAGAGAAGGAAGGAGGAGAGGGAGAGGCGGGAGAAGAAGTGGGAGCAGACGAAGAAGGGGCATGAAGGGCGGCCAGAAGGGGGGGCGGAAGGAGGGATGGCGGATGAGGGGAGCGGGGAAGAGGGAGAGGGACGTGGGGGGAAAGGGGGCGAAGGAGGAGAGGGAATGTTTGTAGCAGCAGCAGCAGCAGCATCAACAGCAACACCAGCAGCAAGAGACGTCCATATACAGAGCGCATTAGGAAAAGAGCGTGAGCGAGGAGGGGGGCAAGAGGGAGGGGACGAAGAGGAGGAGCAACCCCAGGTTCGATCTCCCAAGCCTCAGCCAGTAGACTTCTCCGTCGAGGTACGGGAACTCCCGAGCCTGGCCCCGAACCTCCCGCCGTGGCTCGGCACTCCGCTGCTTGCCGAGGCCGCGGGAGGTGCGGCGGCGGCGGCGGCGGCGGCAGAGTGCGCGTCCCCCGACATTGGTCGGTGGCGGGAGACGCGCATTCAGGAGAAACAGCGTGCTGCTGGTGGGCTGGCGGGGAGGCTAGTAGCGGGGACGAGTGAGGAGGCGCGAGGGCAGGGTGATGAGAGAGAGGAGAAAAAGCAGAGCGAGGTGGGAAACAAGAGTGAGCAGCAGCAGCAGCAGCCGGGGGAGCAAGGGCAGGGGCAGGGGGAGCAGGGACAGGGGCAGGGGGAGCAAGAACAGGGGCAGGGACAGGGACAAGAGGGGGGAGGTGCTGAGCTGGGTCCTTCGGGCTCGTTTTCCTACTCGGATGGCACGAAGCAGGAGCAGCAGGGGCAAGTGGAGCAGGGGCAGAGGCAGGAGGGGCAGGGGCAGCAGGTGCAGCATGGGCAGGGGCAGCAGGGGCAGCAGAATACGGAGGGGCTGGAGGTGGAAATACTGGGAGCTGATTCGCTGGGCGACGAGCAGTTGGAGCTTCAGCCGCAGCTGCAGCAGCCACAGAAGCAGCAGTCACAGCAGCAGCAGCAGCAGCAGCAGCAGCAGCAGTCGAGTATTTGGAGCCGCTTCTCTGGGCGAGCGCCTTCCCCGTCCCGCATGCTGCGCCGTGCCCTCACCCCCCCTCGTTCCGCCCGCAACCCCCCTCGCTCCTCCCCCACTCCCTCCCGTTCCGCCACGCCCCCTCGCTCCCCCACGC